TTGTGAGAAACTGCGATTACTAATGTGCATGTTTATATTTATATACATATATATATATATACACTATTCATTGTTGTTCGTAAGTTTGTATGACTAGCTATAGTATGCTTTGATAATTCTGAATGATCACTACTTAGCACTTGTTGTTTTAGTATTTGTCATTTTGCTTGGTGCTGTGATTATTCAACATGTTCATGATAGGACCCACAAAATAGTACCAACAGCAACAATGGTATAAGAACATTCATACTGATAGTAGCAGTGCGGTCCTCTAATAGTTGGGCGTGTAGAGTTTGGAGATGTTTCGGGCTTTAGGGCTCAACGCTGAGTCCGACCCCAAACCCTTAAGCCTAAACCCCTGGAGGTCCGAGCACTGGGGACTGAACACACTAAACCCGAAACCCTAAACCCTAAACCCCAAACCCCAAACCCCAAACCCTAAACCCAAACCCTAAACCCTAAACCCTAAACAACCCTAAACCCTGAAGCCATAAACCCTAAACCCTACACCCATCTTCAGGCGCCTGGAGTTGGACGAAGCGCGGAGTGGTGCCAGAGATCTGGCCACGTCTCGGAGGAAGCAGCCGGACGGCCCAGAGGGGTAGGCACCCTAAACCCTAAACTAAGCCCTTTTAGGGTTTAGGGCTTAACAGGGTTGAGGACTGACTATTGCATGTTCAGGTTTAGGGGAATTGGGGCTCTAAGATCTAAACTTCTGAGGACCGTAAGGTTGAGACATTCCATGGGCCTCTTCTTGCACATGTCGTCCGCGCATTTGAATCCTGGAGCCTGAGTAATGTACAGTATTGTTCATGCTAATTAAGTAGCGAGTCTAAGTTATATGACCTCAGCACTGGCCAGGGGGATCCTCCACAAGCAGCAGCTGGACAACATGCTCCCCGGCTTAGTTTGGAGGACCACGGGGCGTTGATGTATGTCCAGGTTTAGGGGCCAAGACTCAAGATGCTTAGCCTGCAGGGTCCAAGCGATCTCCGCACTTCGCTAGCTCAGCGAAGTGGGAGGCTTCTTGCCATCTGAGCACTGATGCAAGGTACTCCATGTCGGTAGCAATGAAGTTGCGGCGGGGCCAGCAAAGGAAACACAGAAGCTCCACTGAAGCGTGCTGGTGGACTCCACAAGGGACAAGTCATGGCACAGATCGTCAAGCAACCAGTGTAGACGTTTTCATTTAAACACACGTCGCTTCCTGGCCCCCATGGCCGCGTGTGGAGCAGCTGCTGTGGCTGGTGTGGATGAGCCTTCAGTGGCCAAATCAGAACAAAAGGTACGGGGCTTTCAGGGCTGAAAATAGGACACTGATCACCTCTGACTTTTGCACGTCTTTTTCGGATTCCCCTGCTTGTTCTCATATGCTAGTTCCCTTGTGCACCGGTGTGTGTTGCCCCCAGCCATCATCATGCTTCGAATCTTAGACAAACTAAAGCAACTACAGACTCCGGAGCCCTTGACTCTCTTAGCTTAGCTCCCCTGCAATCCTATACTTGCCAGCTCGAACTCCCCCGGACCTGCAAAGCGGCATCCAGAGAGCTTTAAAAGGTTCAGGGCTTGGGGTTGTATTGAAAATTATTGAAAGCCTCCCTGTGAAGCAAACCTCAGAAACTGCCCCGTAAGAAGCGATGACTTGTGTAAGAATGGGAAAACAGCACGGCTAGAAATACAAGCTGGCCCAAAAAGCATCCCGACTCTTCAAGGAGGATGTGTACAAGGCGGAAAAAGGCGGCGTAGGTGCGAAGCTATCCCGGAAACGGAAGCCAGCAGCAGCATAGATTATCGAAACCTGAGTTGTAGGTCGATCATGTGGATCAGAACTCTTGCGCTAGGACAGCTGGCCGTGGACCTGGGAGCGAAGGGAGGGATGGGAGTGGAGCTGGTGGGACTCGAGCACGGAGTGGAGCTGGACACGCACTTGGGATGAAGACAAGGGCTGCGACTATGCCGAGAGCTCTGCCTCAGTCGCCCGCTCTTGCGAGACACCCGTGGGAAGGGTCATAACACCAGCTTCTCGGAAGCTGGTGTTGGTACTTGGAATGCCCAAGACAGGCACCACGTCTTTACACGAGGCATTCAAGTCAGCGGGCCTAAACTCTGTACACTGGGCCTTGGATGCCGGCTTGAACCTCCAGAAAGATTTGCACCTGCGACTTTGGGGCAAGGATTCCGAACGCCGCCTGGTGGGAAGACTGATTGAGCAAGCCGTGAAGGAGCGCAAAGAGCCCTTGGCATACCTTCCGCAAGTGGATGCCGTGGCCGAGATGAACGGTATGTTTTGGGAAGATGAGCACCAGACCACGGTCCAGGCATATTTTCCTCAAATGGTCCACTTGGAGGCGCTGGTTGAAGCCTACCCGCACGCGTACTTCATTTTGAATGTGCGGGACCTGGCTGCTTGGGTCGCGTCTGTGAACGACCACAACGACCTCCGCAAGCGTTTCGAATGTGCGGATCTCCCTGGCTTGCCGGCCGGAGTTGGCACGAAGGATGAGGAGCTGAAAGCCTGGGTGGCGGCGCATCACGAGCGTGTGCTGACCCTGCTGTCTCGTCGAAATGTCAAGCTGCTGCATTTCAATATCGACATCCACGGCTCGAAGGAGCTGAGCGACTTCCTCGGCTACTCTGTCAAGTGGTCCATATGCAACGAGACGAAGAAGAAAGTGAAGAAGCGTCGATGAAAGCTGGGGAAATCTGGTCACCTGGAAACTGGGTGCTATCTGGCCTCGAAGGCGACCCCAACGTATCGGGCCGACTGGCACGGCTGCAAAAAACAAAAAAGCATTGAGCCACGGATCCGTTTGCTGTGCTGGGCATCCCCAGAGATTCCGACGAGGAGACCATCCAAGAGGCCTACAAGCGGCTGGCACTACAGAACCACCTTGACAAGGGGCGGCTCCCACCTCCTCTTCCCACGGTTTAGGGTTTAGGGTTTAGGGTGTAGGGTGTAGGGTGTACGGTTTAGGGTTCCACCTTGTCAAGACCGCCCAGCAGAACGTCCCCCCCGACAGCAACTCTCTGACAGCGATGTGCGGCATGCTAAAATCAGAAGTCTCTCTCTCTCTCTCTCTCTCCTCCCTCCCTCCCCCCCCTCCAGCTTTCTTTTTAGTCTATGGTCTCCGCTCACCTGAAATCCGTGACAGCACTGACATGCCTCCATCTCCGAACCCGAAACCCTACCCCACACACCTGCGGATTCTCCAAATCCCCTCCACCCAATAAGCCCCAAATTCCCCAAGTCATGTACGCCCACTTCTAGGCGCGACGAGCATCGAGAAGCGATGAAGTCACTGCAACAGCCGCGCCCTGAGCTTTCGCGGTTCAGGGAAGTGAGAGAACTCAGACTTGTTCCGGGCTTTTAGGGTTTTGGTTTCTTTTTTGGCATGTGGCCGGAGGTCAGTTGGGTTACGGGTGTGACAGGACCGAGCATGTCGAGCCGGATACCTTGATCCCCCAAACCCCGTGATCCCCCAAACTTTGACCCTCGAAGGCAGCATGTGCAGCAGCTCACTGTTCAGCAGCACATGCTGGACCCAAACAGGCCAGGCGGACTGAGTCCCAGCTCTCTCGGGTTCTCAGGGGCTTAGGGCCAAGGGCTTCGGACAAGGCTCGGCACGAGGGACGAGCCCTACAGCCTTATAGTCCCTGCGCCTTTCAACTTGAAATGGGCGAATGCAGTGAAAAAGCTACCTTCGAGCATCAACACCCGAAACCTAGGATTCTACGATATTGCTGCCTATGAAGGATAAGGGAAGCCCGTTTCGGAGCTCGATCGGCACTCGTCGGGATAGCGTTCAGGGCCTATAGTATTCCGTCCTTTGCACATGTCCCTCACGAGTCTTGGGTTTAGGGTTTATAGGGTTCAGGGAGAGGTGGGCTTTTGAAACCACCATTGGCATGGAGTTCTTCGATCTTAAGTTCAATTACTCTCCTGGCCCCGCGCCTCCTGTAGTCCTCACACAAGTCTACGCCCCCGAAGTGCCACTCCTCAGACAATCCCCATATACTCACGATCAGATTGCTGTTGCATATGAAGTTTACTCACCAGGCTTTCGGCGATGGTCGACGAACTCCTAGATGAGATCGGGAGCCGGGGCCATCAGGAAATTGGGTCCGGATAGGCGATAGCTTGGGGTAAGCAGAGCAGTCAGCAAACATCAAACCAGGCCTAGCGTGTGCCTGCGCCAGGAGGTATGTTTTAAGTCGAGTTCAGAGTAGGAAAACTGTGAACCTGAAACCTAAGCTCTCGAAGGCCACCACAGCCTTAAAAACTTTAAACCGCCTCTTCAAGCCTAAGGCCACATTGGGTCCGGGTGATCATGTCTTCCATGAGAGGTTCCTCTTCAAGGGTTTCGGCGTTGGGCTTTCGGGGCTTAAGGGTTCAAAGGGTTCAGGGTTGAAGGGCTTAAGGTTCAGGGTTCAGGGTTGGGGGTAAGCTCAGCCTCGGTTCCGGTTCCATCTACATGGTACTATTGAAAAAATGCTCATACTGATAAACATGAGAACACTTGCATCAGATGCCATAGTAAAGCTCAATACTGCAACTAGGGTATAGTAGTTAACAGATGTTAACGGTATCATGCTTCCTATTCGCTGGTATTTCACAAATCATCACCATGTGTCCTGTTGCTACTTGCGACTAGCAGCAATGTGGCGTTTTTGACTATTGCTGTTGTTGGGTGCTTTCTTCACTATTTCTCACTGATACTATTCGCTGTTGAACCCAGTTGCGTCAGAGCCCCAGGCCTCCGCCACCGCAGCGACGTCGCCAGCGCCACACGCACGGCCGCGCGCAGAGAGGCAGAGGCCCTCCAGGCGCACAAGCAGGTCTTGGAGAGTTCAGGGTTTAGGGTTTAGGGTTTAGGGTTTAGGGGGTTTAGGGGGTTTAGGGGGTTTAGGGGGTTTAGGGGGTTTAGGGTACAGGGTTTCGGCAAGGGATGCTTACAGTGATTAAGCACCTACTGCTTAGGTAGATTCTGCTCCGTCGCTACATGCGCAAGGCGCTTCGTGCGGAGCCGCTGCACGGGCCCGCTTCGCATGCGCAGGCCCGGCGGTCGGAGGCAGGGGCCTGCATGAACCTGTTTGAAGGCTTTGGGAGCTCCGAGGGCGTTGTGTATAATTTGCAGCATTTGGGAGATTATGGTTTAGGGTTTAGGGTTTAGGGTTTAGGGTTTAGGGTTTAGGGTTTAGGGTTTAGGGTTTAGGGTTTAGGGTTTAGGGTTTAGGGTTTAGGGGCTTCGGGGGCATGAGCATGTGTGTCACAAGTTCACATGGCAGCGCGGATTGTTCGCTGGGCCGGTTCATTCTCAGATTTTGTCGGGGGCCTCCATGGAAAAAAGCCGGCGGCTTGACTTCTTCTACCACAGCAGGGTTTTAAAGACTGTCTCTAAACCTCGCTTTTGACACCACAACCATGTAAACCCTAAACTTCCCAAACCCTCAAACCACACCAATCAGGAGGCCAGTGCGAAGCTCCAGCGCATGCGGCAGCGCCTGGCAGATCTGGAGGGTAGCGAGGCCGGGTTTGGGCCAGATTGGGGTTGGGGGGGGTTTTAGGCCTTTGGGTTTAGTAAAGGTTCGGGAAAATGGGGGGGGCCAATATTTACACTGAGTGCACAAGCAGGAGCCTTCTGTATGGATCCTACCTAAACCCATCGAACAGGTCCCGCAAGGATTAGATTCTGAACCACGCCCGGCATTGCTCCATGCTCAGTTTTGCTGTCACGGGCCGGTTGGCACAAGCCCATCTTGCTTGCTGGGACGAAAACCGAAGCAGAAAGCCCCACCTCAAAAGGGCCTACTCCTGCAAATGCTGTAGCTAGTTTTGGCAAGTCGCGCTGGGATGCGTAGGCCTTGGCATGCATAAGCTGCAATAGCGGACATGCCTTGAAATCAGGCAAGGCGGAGACAGGGTCTGGAACCGTGTTGCTGTCAAAGTTCTGTCCCCTTCGGAAGCCGTTCGACCTTAACCAGCTCTAAGAAACTCCTCCGACCAAACGCTTCACATGGCCCATGTTTTCTTTCAAAGTAGGGTCCCTTTCAGGAGTAGACTGGAGAGGGACCATGATTGACAGAGCTGGCCAGAAATCCAGAGGCTTCTCGCTTGAAGTCTTCCTCGGTTTTAGGATTTTTGAAAACGACACTTGGCCAGGAGTCACGCGAACCCATAGACACACCAAACTCTTCCACCTGAGCCCCAAGACCAAAAACTTCAAGAATCGGAAGCGGCTATAACGACATGATGCAACAGACTGAAAGCTTGAACCCTGGGTCACCTTAGGAACACAAGCCCAGGCCTGAAGGGATAACGGCAACCTATCTACACAACGTGTGTGTATTATATACATATATAACATGTGCGTGTATATACATATACCGAGACATATATACACATAAAGAAACGCACATCTGAATTTATGCACACCTCAAGCCCCGTAGGTCCATGAAGGAGGGCACCTCCCTTGAGCCCCTTCCCAAGCCCCAGGATCCCCCGACCCCGCCAGCACCGGCGCCAGCAGCGCGGCGCCCGAGCCCGGCGAGGCGCGCCAGCCCTGCGAGGCCTGGGCCCACTCAGACGGCCCATTTTTAGTGTGTTAAGGCCTGAAAGTGTCGTGAATGTTCTAAAGGGCGTTTAGGGTCTTTAGGGTGTTGTGTGTGTTTTTTCTGTTACGGTCATTTCAGGGTTGTTGAAGGTTTTTTGGGTTTCAGGGTTTAAGGTTTGAGGGCTTTCAGGGTCGGTTTCAGGTTTATGGGGTTTAGGCCAGAAGATCTACAGGTTAGCAGGTGATGATCATTCTTCCGCAGTTTGGGCGTCTGCGGCATTTGCATGTCCTTGCTATAATACTTCCTATAAGTCACATGCACGACCCCTTTGCGGAGGCAGGGCCTTTTTGCATGACCGTATCTTGCTTATCTTCCCCCAACTTTCAGCATGTTGAACAACCACCCGAACCCTGAGCCCAAAGTCACCCCCAGCTGTTACACAACAGGATCACCTACACCCTCGAGCCGGTGACGTCGGAGGCAGCAGCGCAGGAGGCTGCCCAGTAGGAATTGGGGACTTCTAGGGTTGGTAGCTTCTGGGAGGTCTTATGAGATAGTTTAGGAGTCCTCGGAATGCATGATTGGGATCTGATCAGGGCTTACGGATTCAGGGCTTGGATTGCGGACTTCAGGGCATCGAGGTTGAACTACGAAACCCCCAGCATGAGATTTGAAACCCTAAGCTCAAAGGGCTGCTCCCAAGTACCGAGATGCACAAAAGGGTTGCCCAGGTTGGGTACACTTGCTAGCGGGTACTTACGAGGTTCAGGGTGGGGGTACAAGGCTGCAGGCCCCGCCTCCACCCCAGCCCAGCCCTAAACGCCCTAAACGACTGAAGCCCAGCTGTTCAGGCATCTCCGTCTGCGCAGCCGCCGCAGGGCGCGGGGGCACTCAGCAGGATCCCCGAACTTCCCCACCACTACCCAGAAGCGCTGATGAGTCCAGCGTCATCAGCCGTCAACCCTCGCTTAGCCTTAGCCAAACGCCCTAGCTAAACTCTCAACTCTAGATCCTTAAACCTCTACAAATCCTACTCAAACCTTATGCAAGCCCTACATCCACTAGTTAGAAGTTTTCGGGCTAAACCCACGCGAGCCCTTCCCAGGCCCAGAGCAGCACCTTCCAAGAAGAGCCCGAGGTGACGATGCTTCCAGAGGACAAAAACGACCAGTGGGGTTGAGGGTTTAGGTCTACATAATGCCACGTTACCCCTTTATACTTATCTTTTATTTTATAGATATATATATATATACATGTGTATACAGATATATATGTGTATATATATATATAACAACACTGACAGACGATAGTCCTGGTACAGGAACACCGAAAACCCTTAAATTTTGGAACCGAGGGTCCCGCGTCCTCCCCAGAGCCGGTACGTCCTGTAATGGTCCCGGCTCCTAACCTTACACAACCCTCAAGTCCTAAAGCCCCTAAACCCTCAGCTTCTTCGCTTGAATCCTGTGGGTTCCTTCACAAACTTGGTGCTTGGGGCCCGATGCCACCAAGCATATAACCACGCACCCCAGTCCCTGACCCCCCCAAAAGCAAAAATGATCCAAGAACCCCTAAGCCTCAGACTCCTGGGCCCCTTCGCAGACCCCAAAGTGATCGCGGCCGTTCGAAGTACAGCCTCTTTTCGAAGCTCCTATGTCAAACAGCGCGCTTAGAAACCCTAAAGCCCCCCCAGCGCCCTACTAAGAGCCAGCAAAGACGCCGGCCTTGAATCTCTTCATTCTGCTTTGGGTTTCAGGACCTTCGGGACCCCACCCCTTCAACATCCCGGAAGCCAGGACTGCGAGGAGACCCTTGTGCCCGAGGTGCGCAGGGGCACAGGTTTCCATGAGCGGCTCAAAGATTCCACGGTAGGCCCTTGGTACTTTTTTAGAGTCTCCCTTTTAAAGTGTAAGAGCATCATGTTCAGGAATATGTTTAAAGTGGGTTTTAAGGGCCTCCTAGAGCTCGAAGACTCCTTGTGTTCCCAGCTTCGCGTCGTTTGAGGGTCGGACGCACGCACTCCATGGGTCTCGAGATTCGGGTTTTGGATGTATGGTTTATCTTCCGAATTCTCCTCAAGCCCCCGGAAAGCCCGACTCTAGTTAAGTATCAGCTTGAAACCGACTGGGTTGCTTTCGCAAGCTTTCCCGGAATGTGCTCCAGACACTTCCGCAAGCTCGACCCACGCACTGGACGTTGGAGCATTAGGGTTTGCAGATTTCCCACAGGAGAGTCCAGTCCGGGCCCCTACCCCAGAGTTCCTTTTCAGGGTTCGGGTGAGCACATGCCCTGCAGCAAGGGCTTTGTCGTGCAGGAGGCTGTGATGCAGGCCCCTGCGATGCGATGTACAGGGACATGTATGCTGAGTTTCAAACTTTCGATGGGGTTTAGGGTTTAGGGTTTAGGGTTTAGGGTTTAGGGTTTAGGGTTTAGGGTTTAGGGTTTAGGGTTTAGGGTTTAGGGTTTAGGGTTTAGGGTTTAGGGTTTAGGTGTCTCCGTCATTAGAGCTTAAACTTGGTTTTGCCTACTTGCAGGGCAGAATAGCCACTCGAACAGGAAGAGCCGCACATCCGCCGCGTTCGTCCTCTACCCTAGAGCCCCATAAAGTTTCTCAAGGAGCTCCAAGATCAGGATCACGTTTCCCTGACGTTCGACATGATTCACCGCCCAAGCCAGGACCGGCGTGCAGCCGGTACCAGGTTCTCGCCGCGCTTGTCGGAGGCTCCTGGCCGGCACTCGAAGCCCCCAATGCTTGCAGAATGATTCAGCTGTTTTAGCCGAGCCGAAAATGAAAAAACTCCCTAAACCCTGCCAGTGTTCCTTTAACTTGACGAGGGGGCAAACGACTACTATGCTAGTATACACTTTTCAAACTCTGAGGAAGTAAGGGGGTTCTGGTGAGGTTCAGGGTTCCCCAGGCCCCAAACCCTGTAAACCCTGAACCCCTTGCCAGCTGAGCCTGTTGCAACCTCAGCAGCCGAGGCGGCCCCCCGGATGCCCCCGGCCCTTCCGACTCCGATCCAGCGGCAAAGGCCGCCGCTAGCGCCATCAGGCTTCCACTACCGGGCTTAGGAGATGTTCATACAGGGGTTCGACATTTTCAGCATCTTGTAGTGAAGGGCCCTCGACTCAGGGCCGAAGGTGAGCATTTTATAAGAAACGACAGCAGGGCCATGTCGTAGCTAGCCATGGCTTGCGCTTCAATCCCACCCAGGGGCTTCTCCAAGTCATGAGGCTTTTACGACTTCGATGATCAAAGCCCCAACAATACAACAATTCATGCACTGCGCGCACGGACAGGCTCCACGTCTACGGGTTTCAGTCTCGGCTGAAGCAGGCGCCTACACCCCCCTTCCCCCCCCCACGGAAGCCTTCTTTGTTTGTTCAGGGAATGTCATAAGGGGGCGCTTCTCCTTGGGTCCTTGGCTTGAACTGAATGGGGAAACCCGTTTTCATGTTCCCTGGTCTAATGCTTCTAGCAAGAGGTTGGTTTAGGGTTGAGTTTCGTAGGGTTTGGCGGGCATTTCTCCGCAAAGAGAGGAGGGGCGGGCTGCCTCAGGTCAAGTTTGAGGACGAAAGCTGAAGCCTGCGACTCGTATGGATGCACAAAGAACAAGAAGTTACCTTGCATCTGCTTGAATTCAGGAGCCCCCTCGAAGGCCCCTAGCAAGCAGAAGCCTGAACACTGTACCTCAAAAAGCTGCCTCCTTGAGAACCTTCCAGCACGTGAGACCCCTTCAGTATTAGTAATTAGCAATGCTATAATGAGCCCCTAAACCCTAAACTCAATATTAGTCATTAGCAATGCTATAATGAGCCCCTAAACCCTAAACCCTACACCTGCTCGGGTTCTGTAGGGCTCCTGGGAATGCGTGCGCGAAATTCGGAGATACGGCTGGGGCGCCCTGGAAATACCCCAGTGACTCGCAGAATCCTTAGACCGGAAGAGCCGAAGACTGCAATATCAAGCCAGGGTTTAGGGTTTAGGGTTTTGGGTGTAGGGTTTAGGGTTTGGGGTTTAGGGTTTAGGGTTTAGGGTACGGGCTAGGCTTCTAGGTCCTTGGGGTCTAGGCTTTGGGCCTGTCAGCTACCGTGTGAGGGATGACAAGCTGAGACATAGCACTCAGACACAGAATGTTGCATCAATGACTACGGTTGGGAAGTATAGTGGCTTTTGTGGAGGGACTTGGGGTTGATGCCTAAACCGTGGTACCCCCCAGATCACGCCGAACGCTGAAATTGCACAGCACCCTTCGCCGCGGTCGATGCCCTGCGCTGTTCAGATGCATGTTTATACCTCTGCCCCTGGCTGCAGGCAGGCTCGAGTGCGTAACCTTTAACCTTGTCAGGCAGTAGAATCGCATGTGCAAATTCCCAAGGGTGCCCTTTATTCCTTTGGGAAGGCAGAGAAGGAAGTTGAGGGTGTGGAATTAGGCTCATGTCGGGTTGAGGGTTGAGGGTTGTTCGAGCCTAGGTGCTACTTACTTCTCGCCTCGCCATGAGGAGGGTTGGAGCATCTCCAGCACAAAGGGAATGTAGGATTTAGGGTAACGTGCGGAAGTGACCGCTCCTGCTGGTTGTAGTGCAAGTAAAAACTGAAGGCGATAGGGCCTCGGTACCCGAATGCCTGCTACGCTTCGACACGAAGCTTGGGGAAGGTCTGGCGGTTCATGTTGCTCATAGTTAGTTCAGGTTCTGCAGCGCGACTTACCTGCCTAAGCAGCTGGGGTCTTCGTTGTCTAGGCCGGGTGCTCATGGAAGCCCTCAGAACTATGTCTCGATCCAGAAGTCTGTCTTCGCTGTGCAGTTACCTCTTTGGGCACCTGCACTGGTAGGGAAGGCCTTGCCTCCTCGAGACGTGGGCGCCAAAGCGGCGCCGCAAGTGAGGAAAAGTTGTGCCCCCTCAGGCTTTGTATGAACCAGAAACCGAACCACAAGAATCCACTGCAGCAACAATCACAAAACCACAACATCAGCAGCAGCAATCTAAACGTCCTCAGCCCTCTGACGACGGACGCCGAGATCGAATCTTTGCTTAAATCAGCAGATGTAGGCTGCACTGACTGTAGAGGCACGATGCTAGGCACTTCCTGCAAGACAGGATAACAAAGCCTTGCACCTGGCAAACCACGCCTAGCTCATCGCGCAGCGTGTCTTTCAGGGAGCTGTTGCAAGTGCCTCTGCTCTCATGTGGCCCCATACTGCCCAGACTTGGCAAGTTCATGGAAGTCCTGGAACCCTCAACTCACGAGGCCTCTTCATCTCCGATGGCATTGCTTCAACGAGCCCTTAGCCTTAGCCAAGCCTGAGTGCTATGTGCTCTCAACGCAACATCAAGGACCCCTGCCATCGCACACAACTTTTGGGGCTTGGTGTAGCACAATCTGCACCCGAGCCTGACATCCCCGCCGCGGTTTGCGCGCTGAGCCGGGACATGAAAAACTTTCCGGAGTGCTGCCTACCTGGGTCGGCGCCTCAGGGGCACAAGGCTGTGGAGCTTGGGGCTTATGCAGGGTTTAGGTCTGCTCTGGCACAGACACAGACAGCATCTCCGGGTGAAGCTATCAAAGCACTGGTTGTTTTGCCTGCTGCAACTAAAAATGTTTGGTGACAGTGCTTAGAGGGCTTCGGCGAAGTTCTACAACCCCATCATTGACGGCCCGCAATGACGTTCTAGTCAAGAGGCCGGCTATAAGAAGTACAACAAGAGCATCAGTACAGAGGGCTTGAGCATGCAATTTAAACCCGAAGCCTTCCCTTTGCCCAATCTGAGGTGCGATAACATTGACAAAGGCGAAGAGAGCTTTGTCGCGGCGAGTGGGGCAGCGAAGGACCCCATAGCCCTGTTTGGGTTGAGGGCTCATGGTAGTTCGCTCGAACGAACTAATGAATCGCGTAGCTGGCACCACAAAAGCCCTTGAGATTCCTAAAGCCGGCAGCCGATAATCACCCCAAAGCAGGCTGCATCCACCGACAGCGACGGGTGTCTCGGGGGGGGGGGGGGGCCCTTTGGAAATGTAGGCTTACGACTGAGGATAGTTGTGGGGTGTGAAATGTTCTTCGTTCGAGGTCACTACAAGGATTGGAAGCTTATTTGCTTTCAAGCTCACGCTGAGGCATGGGCATTGCGAGTGGCTCCCAACCCCTTTGCAGTAAACCCTGAGCCCTAAAACCCGAAAGCCCTTCACCCTAAGACCCAAGAACCCCTGAACCCTATGACTTATAACACTTATAACTTATAGCCCTGCAACCCTGGAGCCCTCTACCGACTCGATGCCTTTTACCGCCGGGACCACGGTCCACCGATTGCCAAGTTCGCCAAGCCTCCTCGGGCTCCTGACGCGCATGGGCAATCTTGACCCCTACATGCTAAAAAATCGCCACCCCTACATGGGGGGGGGGGGGGGTTGTTCTAAGGGTCCCTCTAGGAAATTCTTTATGGTTGGCATTGGGCTTGTGAGGGACATGTGGGGCTATCTTGGGAACAGCTATGTTGATCAACTACCACATATCAAGGAAGGCAACTTCATAGGGACCTGTGGAACTTTCAAGCCCGGTCAGTTACATCCAAGCTCCCAGTATAAACCCTAAACTCAAGAACCCGCAAGCAGCAGCTTGGCATCAACCCTGTAATTCCCAAACAGCTACACATGGTTAGCTTTCTCAATTAGGGTCCATTTTTTGGGGATCCTTGTTATAAGGGTGTCGTATTCTTTCGGGGACCCAACAAAAAGAGACCCCAGTTCAGATAAGAACCCAGATGAAAGGGCAAGGAGTCGAAGCCCGCGCTCGCGCGCCCGGCGAACGTCGGGCTCCTCATCTGGGGTAGGGTTTAGGGTTTAGGGTTTAGGGTTTAGGGTTTAGGGTTTAGGGTTTAGGGTTTAGGTAGGGTTTAGGGTTTAGGGTTTAGGGTTTAGGGTTTAGGGTTTAGGGTTTAGGGTTTAGGGTTTAGAGTTCAGGGTTTAGGTGTAGGGTTTAGGGGTTAGGGTTTAGGGTTTAGGGTTTGCGGATGCAAGGTTGAAGGCTTAGGGCTTAGAAGCCCTCCCTAAGCCGGAAAACCTCTTAGGACTGAAAGAGTCTAGGGGTTGAGCCCTACACTTTTGGAGGCCTACGGTACCTACGGCTGACAATGCAGAATGAGCTGCAAAATCCTGTTTCCCCGTATCCCTTAAAGCAAGGAAGCAGAAGCACAACGAAGGGTCGCCAGGGTGCTTGGGTGTGTGACTTATAGGGCTCACCGGAGGGTCATATTCTTTGTCCCGAAGTCGGAGCCACCAAGGAGTAGGAAGCGCAGCCACCATGGGAATGTTCAGCAAGCGCACTTAAGCCTCACAGAGTTCCTAATAAGGGTTTCATGGGCTTGTGGGCGTCAATGGCGGATGGTGTTCCGTTGTGGGTTCCGGATGCCTGGATTTTGGGGAAGGTCGGAGATTTTAGTCAGGCGGTTTAGGGTTTAGGGTTCGAAAGCCCAGGAACAGGGTGGGAAGGGCCACCCGGCACTTGGAAGTCTCTAGAAAAGCTGGAAGACTTGGGATCGTGTTGGGCTTGTGGTGAACCCTAAAACACAAACCCTGAAACAGCTTATACCTTGTACAACCCCCCATATACCCCCCTTAGACCCCCCCTTATAAACTTGCCTGATCCCTTAAACCGCCCCCCTCCTTTTAGGGGGATTCTTGTTTTTTTTCCTAGGCTGGGGCTCCTGAGAAGTCCCGCCTCTTGGAGTTCGTGAAGGCAGGGCATGGCAGCCGAGCGTCACGCCAGGGTTCCGGTTTCGGTTTTGGACTTGGTCTTTGGGTTTGGGGGTTTGTTGGCTTTTAAAGTTGGGGTTTGGGGTTTATAGGCATTTATGGGGCTTCCGAATGTTTCGGGATCATGTCATATCAGAAGCATACCTGGAGGCTGCGTTGGCATGTGTTGGGCTGTAGTTCGATGTGTGAATGGGAGCACCGGACTTTCATAAATACAAGGAGCTCCACAAAGGAAGCTGGCCGCTGAAGAACGAAGCTTCGTGGTATGTACAAGACATAAGAACGGATCATGCATCGCTGAGAGTAAGCTGCTCAGCGATGCATGCGCGCGCATACAACCCTCCATAGCTCACGGAGGCCTTCTTTCTACAGCGGCCACGCAGAAAATGCCCCCCCCCTTGCAGCCCCTGCAGGACTTTGCAAAGTGTGCAATCCGCGGCTCCCCTTGCACACTCCTCAGCGCCGAAGCAGGCCACTGAGGGGCTTTTCAAGCAAGTCCGTTTAAAGCCCATGGCCAGCTCAGCTCCCTAAGTCATGTTCCCTCGAAGGGGTCCTTACTGCAACAGGGGCCATGGCTTAGAGGGCCCAGGAGTAAGACTTAAGGTTCGGAGCAGGAGCTGCGGCAGCTGTGGGATCTACAGCTTATGCTTTAGAACCGAAAGTATACGCCCAAGTCACGGGTTTGGGATCAGGCAGCAAGCTGCTCAACCCGAAACCGCTAAGCCTCTCTGCATAGGCGATCCTATCTCTGCAGCTTACTTCATCGACCCGCAGATGCGCAGGCCAGCTGCGAACGTGTGGAGCAGGTTTAGGTTTGGGGCATCTTGGGTTGTAGGTTTGAGGAATCAGGGGTTTGCAGCCTCGAGGTATTGTTGGTTGCATGTGGGTTCGCACTGCCAGGCTCTTCTTGAAGCGCACTCAGACTCCAGAGACACTCCTAGCCAACATCCGCTTGGAGAACGTCAAGGAATGACCGTCTTGCGTTTAGGGTACCCTAAACCCTAAACCCTAAACCCTAAACTCTAAACCCTAAACCCTAAACCGTTGTTGTTCTGGAAGGCTTGTTGATGGACACTCTAAGTACCTCAGGGACCTGCGTTTGGGGGGGGGGGGCTCAAGGTTGTATAATGGCATGGGGCGGCTCAGGGCTCTTAGGGTTTAGGGTTTAGGGTTTAGGGTTTAGGGTTTAGGGTTTAGGGTTTAGGGTTTAGGGTTCTGATTGAAACCATGCAGGCAAGGGCAAGGGCGTCTTGTGCTTACGACAGGGCCCGGTGATCAACGATAAGCACACCGGTTTAGGGTTTGAGCTTCGTGGGGTGTAGGATGCAGAGTGTAGAGTTTAGGTTTCGTGCAGAAAGGGTGGTTTGCACCTGCACTCCGGGCTATCACATAAATTGACCTCTGATCTGGGAGGCGGGGTTTTTAGGATGCCAAGTTCCAGCACCTGACTCTATCACCTTAGGACCTTATCACCTTAGGACCTTTGTGTCGCTGGAAGAGTCTCGTGGTGACAGCCTTCCCTGTTTGCGCAGAAAGCCAGAGCGAACACGTGGAAGACCAGGTGGTCAGAAGGAACCCTAACGCTTAAATGATTAAACCCGAAAAGCCCTGGACCTGGTGTGCCTATTGAAAGCAACAGCCCTCTGTACCAGGAGGTGTCAGAAGGAGCCGCCAGTGAGTCTGCGCTTCCCAAGGCTCCTGTGGCGCTCCTGTGCAGGGGGGGGAGGGGGGGGGAGCATCCATTGCCCAGCTACTTGTAACCAGACATATGCCAGGTACCCTTACCAGCTTACCAGGTATAGGGCTTATAAGGGTTGTTTTGGGAGAGCTTACGGAAAGGGCTTGCGGAGCTTTGACTCATTGGGATCCATTCCTTGTTTTTCAGTCGATGATGGTATCCCTCTAAGCCATTCTGAATTATGGTCCATGATCCCATGCCAGGTGTCCTTTCCTACTACAGAATGACTAGAAGTGACCAGGGACCCAAATTTCCCTAAACCCTAAACCCGAAACCCTAAACCCTCAACCCTTGGAGAACGGGCGGTTGTCAGCTCCATCCCCCGATTCCCGCCTCCAGGGACTTGCGCCGCAGGATCTGCAGAGGCACTGGCTTTTTTTGATATACTACTACTTGCTTAAGAGCCTTAAAAGAATGAAAAATGATAATCCCTATATTGCCCTTGATAAAGGAGTAACATTTTGATTTTCGGGGTTCTTAAGCAATTAGTAGTATAGGAGACTCCCAGTTAAAAGGGTATTTATGTATGAGTAGAGGAGAATCCCAGTCAAAGGATATTTACATATGAGTAGAGGAGAATCCCACTCTGCATAAAGGAATACTTATGTATGGGTAGCTGGCTGAATCAGGGCCCTTTTTATGGGTCCCCAGAAGGGATCCTAGTTTAGATCGGACTAAGAACCAATGGCTGACTGGAGGAACGACAGATGCGTGCGATAACCACCAGGGTCGCCAGGGGCAACCCCAAGCTGATTGTCTGATAGGGTATCGATGCATGGCCCAGTCCGACGCAACCAGCATAGCCACCCAGGGGCAGTCCTATTTCACAGAAGATTTGAATACACAAAGGGGTCTTCGCGAGCTACTCGTATGACGTCATGAAACGAAGCCCTGGAGCCTGAACCATAGGCCACAGGCCATTCTTGCAAATCTACACAGGTTAGGCTTTTGACAGAGATGGCCGCAGAGATGTTCATGTAGAGCCGTGGGGTGACAAGGGGGTCCATCCATATGAATTCTTTCCTTTGCAGACAGTTTTCGGGAGAATGCAGACTCTTCCGTGCCACCCGGGCTCTCTATAACATCCGCTGAACATACCTTAGCTGTTGTGGCAACACGCATGCAGCGCCGCGACTCGAGTCTTTCCTGAAGTGCTGTATCTTCTTGGACGTCTCCTCTTCAGAGTCCTCCAGGTTCCGAGATTTCAGCCCACAGCTTTGCATGAAATGTTGCGCATTTGGAGGGCTTCAGGGGAAGTGGCAGGTTCCCTTCCCATTTGCGATGTGAGCACCGTGCTACGCCTCAAGCAAGACTTGCAGCGACTCCTGTGGATCCCAAGGTTCCAACAAAGACTCCTTCACCAAGGTGCCATCCTAAATGACGAGGAGCATCTCAAGGTGGCCCTGGGCTTCGAGAATGCAGCCAGGTTCTTCGACGTGCAACTGGTGGTGCTTCCATGCGCCCCGTCGTCATCTTCAGCAGACGCTCGCATGTTTGTAGAGCTCGCCGGTTCGTGGTCTTGTCGGAATATGGAATACATGAGAAGCATGCTGCAACAAGGACACGACCCGAACCAGCCCGCGGACATTGGCGGGGAGCGTCTGACAGCACTGCAAGTTGCAGCAAGACAGGGCCAGGTATTGATCGTGCACATGTTGCTGGAAGCTGGGGCACTCTGCAGATATCAGAACCTAAGCTGGGCTGACTCGGAGTTCGAGCACTTTTGCCTCGCAGTCTTAAGGGAGGCATCGAGAGGGCATGACATGGAGGTGCTGCGCTTGTTGCTGGAGGCCCTTGGCCACGGGTACCAAGACGAAGCCGTGGTCGAAGCATCGCAGCATGGGCGTGTGCACACGGTGGCCCTTGCTTTTGGCAGACAGCCAGGGTTTGCCAGTTCCATCAACCCAGGGCCTTCAACAAAGCTTGGTGGCCGCATCTTCTAATCGCCACGAGCAGGTTGTCTCCTTGCTGCTGAATGCTGATGTCCTGGACTTGACTGACAGGAGCTGGCAGAAAGCTGTATGTTCCTCTCTCTCTGGAGCCTACTTCCCCTGGTCCACGACACGCTTTCTTCTGGTTGTGTACGTGGTCTGTTGGCTCATTGTCGAACTCGTTTTCCAACTCCCGCAACGCACAGGAGCGGCCCAGCAGTGGATCGTCTGGATCGTTTTCTTTACGTCGTGCGTCTGGCCAGACATCAGGTTATTGGTTGTATGTGGGCCATTTCTCAGACTGACAGCTGGTTGTTTCTCGCTAGGGACCTTCGTCTCCGTCATTGCTGCGGCCGCCCTCACATTACCAAACAAGATCACGCGACTCTTACTAGCAGCCTCAGCAGCCAGTGCTGCAAAGAGCTGCGGGCGGTGCCGTCGCAATCGTGTCATCCTCCTCTGAACATCTTTAAGCGTCGCCAACTCTTCAAAGCAAAACAATGCTACTTCCTGACGTTAATTCGGGTACTCGAAGGGCTTCCGGGCTTGGGGGTTTGGAGGGCATGACCGGTGAAAGGTTTGGGGCTGAGGTTTGGGATGAGGCGGGGTGAGGGGGTTGTCGAGTCTTCTTCGTGATGAAGAGAGGGGCGTGAAGCGCAGGGAAGTCAACTCCCTTGTAAGCCGTTGCAAACCCTTATAAACCACGCAGATTCCTCACAGACCTTGAGATGCCTTATAAACTCTTGTAAGTGCAACTTAATGAGGTTTAGGATCTTCAGGGTGTGATCTTGTGGCTCTGGCTGCAGCCTCCACCATCATCTAGCTTCATCCCTCTCCTCCCTCGCGATCCAGGCTGGTCGTCCTCGAATTTGTGAACGGCGATCCTAGCTTATTCCTGTTGGAGGCCATGTCAAGTGATACAGAACTGACATGAATAGACTTATGAATTGAACCGATGAACCATTTGCTTGAAAGACACAATGGGCTTCTTACTGTAGGCCCCAGGTTAGGGATTAGATGAATACGTGTGGAGGTCTCTTCCCCCCCCCCTCTCCCAGCTCCCTGTAGGCGATGCCTCAATGATTTTCCGGAAGAAATTTCAAGTTCGAGGACGAGACTGATCAGCCCCTTAAACATCTTCAGGTAGCTGTTAGGCCTACAGCCTACAATTGGGTTTATAGGGTTTAGAGGGTTTAGAGGGTTTAGAGGGTTTAGGGTTTTAGGGTTTAGGGTCTATGGCTTGCGCATGTAATGTGTCTGTAGCTCCCAAAGGCCTATGCCACACGCAACAGCTGCATGCAGGGCCATTCCAATGACCGCGACCGCTTTATCCTGTGCTTGAAGATCCTGAGGCATGGGGAATATCTGAGACTCCCGGCATCGCTCCGAGGGGTGAGGGCTACTTACGAGGCTTTGCTTCACTAGAGGCTGGGGTTTGGGCGCTGTATCGGTGTATCGTGAACCCTGAAACCTGTTCCTTTGGCTTTCCGGTGTTTGGGCTTTAGGGTTCAATACTTAGAGATTGCATTACCCACCAGCAACAGAAGCCCCGAAGCCCTTTGAATTATAAACCCGATGAGCCTTGCAAAAGGCCCCATAATTAAGCTCTTGAAGCCCTGTGAGCCCTTACAAACCCCAAAAAGCCCCACAAAAACCTGGACATGTCGAACCGGACGTTCCGTCGACAACGAGGTTTTACGGTTAAGGGTGTAGGGTTTGTCACAATAGGTCTCAAGAATAAGAAACAGACCCGCAACAACTCCCCTCAACCCGAAATTTTAGAAAGCTCTTCGTGCAGAACCTGGCCCTTTCGAGACCCTAAAAATTGGAACCCCCAAAAATCTTCATCATCTCCCAAAACCCTCAACCCATAAACCGAATTCCCAAATAACCAAAACCCAGAACCCAAACCCCTACAAGCCTCGCCAGGCTGTACGCTCAGACGTTCGGGCGGCGTTTATCCCCACGACCGTTTGAGTAGAGTCGCCTTGTGACACCCTGGTTCTGGTGTTCAGGGATGACGGGGATTTAGTTAGGTTGCAGCCCGACGTCCCCATCGTTTCAGATACAAAGAGTCGGAATCGGAATGAAGATGCTAGAATGCTTCAACATCACGGAGCTGCAGCGATAGGAAGATGTTTCTCTTGCTTTAGGCAAGAAGCCGTCGAGGTCACGCAACAGAGACAGGAGAAAACAAGCCACTATGCCTACCTAGTAGGACAAGTGCGGGTTTTTGTAATCCCCCCCCTCCTTTAGCCCGGACTACAGATTTAGGGCTTCTCGGTACCCAACTCCACATGAAGCATGGTGCTATGCCACTGACGGAGTTCTCGCAACCCCGCAGTACCGGTAGCTTTCCGGCCCAAGTGAGACTTGACCAGTTGTTGGAAAGCGGATGGGAGCCGATTGCTTCAAATGTTCCCGGAGAATAGCGGGTAGTTGCTCCACCTGAACCCCCCAAAATGGCAATATGGTAGGTTCCCCGTTCAGCAAGGCTTTCCCTTTGGAGTGGCTCTTGTCCCCTGGTCCATCCCTTTGAGGTGTTGAAGGCTTTGGGTTTGGGATGTGGCTTGAGGGCCTCGGCCTTATGCTGTAGATGGGACACAGAGCCATGCCTGAACCCTGAAGCCGGTACCCTCAACTTATGGGGCCCTTAACCCGAATTAAGACCTTCGACACTTCAATTAGGATTCCAGATTCTTTGACCCTCATGAGTTTCAGGCCCTGAGCCCGAAGCCGTCAGGGGTTAGGCGAGTCATCAGCCTACGGGAGCGAAATCGAGTAAACCCAGCGGGACCCTGTTGGGCCAACAGACAACCCCGCATTAATCTCGACCTTTGGTATCACGGAGCTTTCTTGGTATAGCCAGTTTTGTAGCATGTAAGAGCCAGGGCTGATATAAGCTTTCCTTCATGTTTTCAGGGCAGCACTTGGATCATCTGAAAGTCGGCTGCTGGTATCTGCTGATGCGTCGGATAGATTCTTGTCTTGGGCCTTGAGCTAGCTGCCGCAGCCTTAGGGCTTTGAGGCAGGGGTCTTTAGCTCTTGGACAAGGCCATGTCTTGGAGTCCCTCTGGAATGATCCTTCTGCTTGCTGGGTTCCTGGCAGCTGGCGCGACTGACTCCGGCAACCTCAATGGTGATCGGGCTTGCAAGGAAAAGAACTCAATTTGGGAACACCACTCCTCGCAAGGGAAGAGGAGCAAGTAGATCCAGGGTTCCAGATCTGTAGGCACCGAAAGAGTGAGCACGATCAATGTCAGGGTCTCCTACAGGCGTAGATTCCTGAATCCGTTTCGTGTGTACGTTATGTAGTACATACATACACAAAGATTTGACTTTGACGCTTTGCGTCGTCTGCTCTGCAGCACATTCGGGCGGATGGCCCAACACCTACAAAGGAGCATGCAGCATACGTATACATGCACATACGCAAAATGTACGCATGCATCTGCAGCATATACATGTATTCCTGAATTACAAGTAGAATTACATATACGTGTACAAAAACATATACCTACATGCCATGGTTTCTTTTTGCCCCTCTCAGGTGACTACGTGCCGGGCTTACAGGAGATTGTGAGCCTAGGGCAGTGTGGAAACATATTCACAGGCTCTGTCTTGGATCATGTGTTCTGAGAATCTCGATTGTTTGAGAGGCGGGTGCATCAATCTGAAGTTGTGAGCAGATTCCTGTCTTCGCCCCATAGAAACCAGGGCTGAGAGCTTCATAAGTTCACGTGCAGAGCTTGACCTATGCATGGTGTAGAACTCGTGAACGCGATTTGTGCCGCTCAAGGTGCTGTCTCAAACACCTGGCGGCAAGGAGACGCAAAAACGATTTCCGACCCATTTCGCGGACTACCCTGGAAAGCCTTCTTTCTTCGACGTTTACAGCCCGACCATCCGAAGCCTCTACTCGCAAGTCTTCTGGAAGGCGCTGCCCCCGGTCGACCTGCCGGAAGCCGTGGTGAGGCGGTTTGATGGCAAAGGAATGGCAGTCGTCGGTTTTGAGGTGGACCAAGTGCGCAGGACCAAAGATGGGGATGTGTCGGTTCCAATTTCCGTGGCTTACAACCATCACTTTGAGACCACGATGGTCGGGAAGCGTGCTGCGTTCGAGAATGCCCTCATGCAGGGTCCCGGAGACCCCCGCATTCCTGCGAAGCATGGACATGGAGCAAGCTCCGTCTGGAAGCCAGGTAAGCGAGAATGGGTCGTGCGGGAGAGAGCGCCCGGGGATCTTCCCACAAGCCAGAGCTTCGGTGGTGCTAATGGTGGGGAGTACCGCAAGAGCTTCCATGGCTACGCACCGGGCTTTGTGCAGGTCATCGAGTCCCCGACTCAAATCCAGATTACGCCAATGCAGATTGATACCTGGAACAGGGACAAGATGAATATCTCGCATCCAACAAGCTTCGTGCCGGGACCTGTGCCGAGGACCACGGCTTTCGTCGCACCTGCATGCCTGCATGTTGCAAATTGAAGCTCAAAGCTCCCAAGCTGTACTTCAACTTCCTGAACCTCGACCAAGTCAACGCCCGAAGCTTCAATCGTTCCCCACTAGTACGTACCAACTCCGAACCCCAAATCCTGAAATACCCTGAACTCCGAGCCTTGCCCAATACCCAAAGAACCCAAAGGCTTGGCCACCTACAGCCCCCCCCCCCCCCCCCCCAACGTCGCGTTGCACGTGACGCGCTGGCCAGAGCCAGGACCTCACTGGCTCCGACCTCCGGGCCTGACGCTCTCTACTCGGGGCCCCTCTTCCGTTGGGATTTTTTGGGGTTTTTGTTTTTTTTTGTTTAGAGGGTGCTGGGGGGCTTTAACGGTTTTTAAGGGCTGAGAGTTTTACGGGGAGTTCTGGGCGAAAGTGGCTCTCTAAAGATAATTGAGAGGTTTTGGAAATGTGGCTTGCTGAGTTGGCTGTTGCCCTTCTGGTGAGACATTGTTTGGGTTGACGCGATTCTCACATGGGTTTAGCGGACCTTGGGGTTAGGGGCTTGAAAGGCTCTGGTGCTACTGGCGACTGTCGGCATTCAGAGCCTTTAGGTATGTCGAGCTTCGGGTTGGGGATGTTTAGGCCTGCTTAGGAGCTAGCAGCATCTGGAAGACAATCCTGCGCCAAGGGTTTAGCACGACTTTCTCTGGCCAAGGTCACCCCCAGCCGAGAAAGCCTCAAACCGACACGAGACACTCGAAGCTCTACAAACGCTATGAGCTCAAAAAGAACCAAAGAATCAAAGCTCCGACCGAGGCTGCTGGAGTGTCCGGTGACGACCCGGATCCTGAAGCATGCCCTTGGCCTGGTTTAGGTGTGTCGGAGCCTTCTCCCCTTATCTGTGATCTACCAGCCATGAAAGGCTAGATCCTGTGCTACGGCTAGACCCTAAACCCTAAACCCTAAACCCTAAACCCTAAGCCCTTTGGGCTTCGTTGGAAAGAGCTACAGGTGCCAGGTGAGGCCGTAGTCCGCCTGCGAGATCCGTGCTCCAGGTCCCCAGACTCAGGCCAGCCAGGGTTTATGGGGGCTTGTAGGGGAGGTTTACGAAAATGGGGGTGCCCTTTTTGGGGGTTTCCTTTAAGGGGATTCTATTCTATTTGGGGTATCAGAGGGGTACCCCTATTTGGGGAAATACCCATATGATTTGTAGTGCTCGGTAGGCTTCTAGGCTTGCGGGGTTTGGTAGGGTTTGGGGTTGGGCCTCATTAAGGCCCCGGAGACCTCAAGCTTGTGAATCATCGCTATAGTCAGCTTCATTTTGCAACTTTCCTCCTTTCGTTCTCCTTTTGAGTCCTGGCTTCGAGAAGACCCTATCTACGTTAAACCCCAACGCGCTTCGGCTTAGGTTTTTTTTCTTTTGTTTTCGGTGTTTGTTGGTTTCGGGGCGCATGGCAGGCGAGGAGTGTCTGGCTCTGGCCCGAGCAGCTCTGTATGGACAGCACCGACGTTTCTTGCTGGATCCTTCTGTGTCTGCACATGTCGGGTGCACCATCATGGCCGACAGCCATGAGCTGAACCTCGTCCATGTTCACTTCAAGGTGCGCGGCGCTGGTGCCACAGACATGGGGCGGGGGGGGGGGGGGGCGGAAGAGAGAGAGAGAGAGAGGGACCGAGACATTAGGAGAGACGATGGGATCCAAGAAAGCAGCAATGTGGTGTTGTCCCCGGTCTCACCAACTTTCATGTTAAAGGCTGCTGCCTCAAAGACTGATGTCAAGCACGGTGGGCGGTCGACGCTACATTTGCGTCAGGACACTGCCTCTTGACACGCTCACTGAATTCTGCCTGATTTTGAGTTCGGGTCTTGTGAAGCCCATGCCCTTATCGCGGGTGCATGGGCTCCTGGTCGCCTGGTTGTCAGTCCTCTTCCCATCGCTCCGACACGGCACAGCATAGCTGCACTTTAGCTTGCGTGTCACGGCCTGTTACATCCTTGTCTCTCCGCGACCCCTCCCCCCCTCCCCCCATGTTTCCCGTGAGCTCGTCTTCGCCAGGACTCGAGTCTACGTGGTGCAGCCGGCAGCGACTGCGCCGCAACCGCACCAAGCATTGCCTTCCCGTGCGAGGCTTTGAGTCTCGAGTTGTCTACTCAGGGCTAAATCAGCAGAGTCCAGACCACCTATGTTCGGGGCTATGGGCACATCGAGTTCTATGCACTTGAACGCAAAGCTTGTTCGTATCCTCAACTTTCACCCAGGTGCAACAGACGCCAAGAAGTTTGTTGGCACGAGCAGCCCTTTGGTGAACGTGTCTGTGGTACTGGACCTGTCTTCGCAGCAAGCCCGCATCTCCTTGACTGGCCCTACCTCCGTGTGGTTCGGGGTTGGCCTCTCGGTTGGCAGGACTTCCCTCTAACATTTACTCAAAGATACTGTGCCCCCGGTGCCAATACGAGTAGAATAGAGCACTGAGGATTCAATGCGGTCGCCATGGCAGACTCACCCTGGGCGCTTATTGTAGACGGGTCTGGGAATGTCACAGAGCGGCGTTTGGGGGATCACCGGCCCGGACAACTGCTGAAGCCATCCGTGGCAGTTGAGGAGGTGAAGGTTGTTGGAGACCTCAGATCGGTGACGGTGACACGACCCTTGAAGGGCGCTTCGCCGGACTACTACACCTTTACCCCCTTCACCGAAGCTTGGCGTGACATGTTGAAGCAACAGCGGAGTAAGTCCTTTTTGAGCAAAGCACCCAAACTTGAACTGAAGAAACTCGGCTCGAACACAAGCTACGTCTCCCCGAAGATCTTCGGACAGCAACTCTCTACCAAAGGACGGGAGCGGCCAGCTGAATTTCATCAGCGCCGTGGGCAGCACTGCGAACTTGTCATACCACAGTCACTAGGTTTATGCATCTCCCCCGTGGCAACGTTTTTTGTTCTGCTTGTTAAGACTGAGGTCAGGGGCTCCCTTTTTGTTTCACTCTACCCGGGAACCTACTATAGGGGTCGGAAAAATGACTAAGAGTATTCCCTTGTGGTCCCTATATCATTTTACTATAATAACCCCCCAAAACCCAAGTAAAATGTTTAAGGCCCTTATATTCGAGGTCAACGCACCCCTGGTCAGCTGACCTTCCTTCCGGTGGACCTGGATGGCGCTTGCGTCTGCAGAGGCGAACCGATCCCGCTTCTTGGTTGGACTTCCCGCGCCGAATCTCCAAGGCCTAGAGACCCAAAGGAGCGCCGTAGACTCCTTTAAGCTCCCGACACCTCAGATGCCCCCAAATCCTCAAACTTCAAACCCTAAAACCCCAAACGCCGAACCCCTAAAGCCTAAATCCCATCCCAAGCCCTACACGCCTGAACCCTAAACCCCCAAACCGAAACCCCCAATCCTCAACCCCAAGCCCTAAACCTTGGTCCAAGCCCTAAACCCTAAGGCCCGAAACCCCTAGACCCTCGACCCTAAACCCTACGCCTCAAACCCAGGTTCGGAAAGGCCAAGGGCTCCTTGGAGTATCGGGCCACGGGCCAGCCGGAGGAAATTGGGAGGGTTTCGGGGTTCGTGAGGGCGCTTCCGAGATCATTTAGGGGGTTTAAGTGGCTGAAAGACAGGGCTGAGAAGTCTTAGGGTTCTATATATGGAGGTCATGTGGAGGTCTTGGGCTTTAGGGGGATTTCCGGTCTTGGGGGGTGCATGTGTGCATTGTTTGAGTGCTATTGGCGTGCAGACTAGCACTCCGAGTGGTGACCTCTCTTCTTGTTTCCTTGCAAAAAGCGGAATTTCAAGTTCCCAGCTTGCAGGGGAGCCTCGTCTTGGGTTCAAAAGTTGACGTCTCACCAACCTAAACATCCCTAAACCCTAAACCCTAAAAGTCGCTTGGGTCTCCCTGGCAGGATCTTGGCTCCGGCAGCTCGGGCTTCAACAACCACTGCCCGGAGCAGCCTAGGCCAGCATTCGGGGTGTCTTGTGGGGAGGGGTTAGCCTTGCATGGGTTGATCACCCATGTGTGTGTGTGTGTGCCCCTTTTGGCCCTTTTGGGCACCCTGAAGTCTAGTAAGAAATCTGCGATAATCGAAATCGCAAGAGGGTCCACAACTGTGATCAACGCTCATGTGCGATCGCATGTTGATCAGTGGCAAGGTGAGGATACTGGAGTGATTCGGTTTTGCAGAAGAGGTCGCAAGGCGTGTTTTGTTTTTCTTTTCTCGGATTTGTACCGGGCCAGGAGTGATCTGTTGGCCATGCAGAAACTTGGATGTTCTTTAGACTTGTTTCGTCAAGTTAGTAAGCGTCGAACATCAACGAGCCCTAGGTTCTGCCGGTTATGCTCCCTAGCCTCATTTTGGCACACGTTCACAAGAGTAGTGAGTGGTCAAGGAATCCGACCTGTGACCTCCGGAACTACTCGGGCGGCCAACTGGCTTGCCACCACATGTGGTCTCTCCTGGATGCGGATCAACCCATCCCCTGGCCAGAGAAACCCCTTGAATACTCCTTGAAGTTCCGCTTCTGGGTCGAGGAATACAACAAGTCTTATCATACAAGCTTGCGGCGAGACCCTCGTCAGCATGGGCAGTCTGTGTAGCATGTACAGGCGTTAGTAAAGGCTCCAATCGCTTTGATGCCGCGGATTCTCACTAAGGTGACCTGGGGCATTGCCTCGCCAGTCGAGTATGATGTGCCCAGATGTGCGGAAGGCACTATGGGCTGTTCCCCCGACGGGAGTGGGGGATGGACGCTCGCAGAATGAGAGAGAGAGAGAGAGAGAGACAGGGAGGTATTGTTGTCCAAGCACTCTGCTTTTCCTTGCAAGCTCTGCAGCAAGCCCTTACCCCTCGACAGGCACGTGCTTAACCCAGGCCCCCCTGAAGTCCTAAACCCCAAAGTCCCAAACCCTAGAGGCCCTAAAACCCAACAAGCTCAGGATTCACACCATCCGGGGCACCTTCACAGGCGAAGGCAGGCTGTCAGCGGCCCACTTCCACTGCCACGCGCCGACCTGCCTCTCCATGGCGCTGTACCGCTGCCCCAAGGGCACAAAGGCCTCCCCAAGCCTTTGAGGGTTTCGGCCTTCAGGTTTACAAGCTCTTTTGGTGTGAACCCATGCGGTTTCGTCTCATGGCGCTCTTCAACAACTTGGGTTTCATTGAGTTTATAGGGATCCAGAGTCCAGAGCCCTCCCTAAACCTAAACACTAGAAAGGGGACCTTGAGTCCAAAGTGCAAGAGGTCTGCGACCAAACGACCGGTGAGCTCCTGTGCGTGGAGCGGCCCGTCTACGGCAACGCGTCCGGTGACCTCTTCGGAGAGCGCGGGTCTTGGACGAGCTGGTTTTTTTCCCCAGCTGGTTTAGGTAAATTTGAACGCCTTCGACCGCAACACTGCCAGGGTTCGTTCGGTGTTTCATTCAAAAATGGGGGGGGAGGGTGAAGGCTTGCTAAGTGGTGAAGATCAGGATTCTAGTTGTGATTCAAAAGTAGATGAGGGTTTGGTCTACATGTTGCTCCCGTCTGGCAGCTTCTGTTAGTGGTAGATGTCTAATCGTTAGGATTCCTTAAAGGGGGTCATGACATAGTTCAACCCTCTTATGGTTCTGAGTTTCTGAACTTGCGCACAGGCCTGGCTACATCTTCCAGCCACCCTGTCTCTGGGGTGGGGAGGAGTTTGGACTGCAACCCCCTCCGAGCGTGGAAGGCTTGCCAGACCAAAGTCCTGCGTAGTGTCACGGGCTCGGGTTGTAAATTTACGTCGGATTTAAGGTCTAATAAGGGATCCAATGCACAAGTCTCCAGGAATAGTTCCCAGCTGCATTTCAAGGGTGCATCTGCGCAGGCTTCGTGTTGGGCGCAGTGAAGACATCCAACGCCACGTATCCAGGCTGTACTAAAACCATGGCTGCACTACAAGAAGAAATCCACGTGGAATGGACATGTGAGAGGGCTCGCATGAAAGGCGAAATCTGTTGGAATCGTTCATAAATCCAGGTATGGCCATCATGGAGAGATGGCCTGGCAACAGATGTACGTCTACGATGCAGAAGCCAGCAGGGACACGGAGGTGGTATGACTGAGATGCTACCAAGGTCAAGACGGCTCTAATGGGTACTTATACTTATAAGCAGGGTGAGAAGTAGGGTAAATATAGTAATAATTGGTACTCTTGTAGTAAGGGTTACATCAGAGTAGGGTAAATACAATATAGTTGGAGGTAGTAACGGTTACATCAGTGTGGAAGAGCTTGCAAGGCCTGGAGCTTCTGCAACACCCCCGCCAAAACTTTCAACTCCAATGTTGCTGGCCATTTGGGCTGGCTTTGTACAGGTTGCTCTCCGGGATACTTTGCCGAGAGGAAAATGTCGAGGAGTACGCACCTTTACCATGAGAGGTGATGCTCAACAGGGTTAGTCTGGGAGCGTGGCGAGACTCTAACAAGTCCAAACAACCTTAATTATTCTGGCCCCTATAGTAAACTGTTGCATGCCTTGATCCCCTCCCCCTCCTGGGCATGCCCAGTGTTGCCCTGCCTGTATTCCCGTTGACTCCAGCTCCTCCCCGTCATGTCCTGTCCTGCATAGTTTATGAGTTAGTGTCGGTTTGGCTTATTCTAGCAAAGTTCAGTTGTGAATCGGGACCCGCCCCCCGGCGCCGCCCGAAATCCAGGCACCTAGGATCGAGGGGGCTTCTTCGGCTTACTCAGCGACCAGCAAACTTAGAGTGGGAGGGTCCACCTTAGGATCTGCATCAACAACGCTTCAGGGCACGAGCTGCTCACCAGTAGCACTTTGGGAGGCGATGAGAATCAGCGATTTGCAGCTTGAACTTCGCAGGAAGCATGGCATTCGCCTTGTACCGGCCAAGTCTGGTGCACGAAGGCAAAGTCTTGCAGGATGATACATTGTTAGATTCGATACATCAGCGCGGCAACAGCTCGGATGATTCTGCCCAGACGAAAGATGTTTCAATCGACCTACAGCTCGTCCTGTCAGAAGCTGCATCCTCATCTCGGCCTTTGCTTGAAAAGGATGTTGTTTACGCTTGCGTATGTGGCACTCCTCAGTTCATGCAGTCCCTTCTGCGAGCCCGGGCGGACGTGAACTGGCGGCTGAATGATTGCGGCACTACAGCTGTCATGATGGCCGCTGAACGTGGCAACAAGGAGGTTGTGGAGTGCCTACTGGCAGCTGGTGCCCAGAAGGACTGCCAGGATTCGGAGGACTAATCAGCTCTCATGCATGAAGCTTGCGAAAACCGCGAAGACATCGTGAAGTTGCTGCTGCAAGCTGGTGCCATGAGCAGGACTTGCAGGATTACGATGGCCGGACAGCTCTCATGTTGGCAGCTGCACAAGGCCACAAAGAGATCGTGGAGTTACTGCTCGAAGCCGGTGCCGCTAGGTTGGGTTCCTGTTTTTTTCGTGGGCTTTTTCGGGATGTTGATGAGAACACCCGATGTGACTGTAGTGTAGCAGAGCCAAAACCTTATTCCAATTATGAAGGGTCCCTATAAGTGTTGTGAGGACCGCGGGCTCTCATGATGGCTCTGATTGTTCTGATCCTTCTGACCATGGCGGCTTGGGCTCAGGATTCAAGTGCTGATCATTACTCGTGACTCATAGATGTCTAGATCAGATGTGAGTATTACCCAGAAATCGCCTACGGTGTGCTCCTTTCACACACCACCCACACCCAAAACGGGGGGGGTTGTCACTCGGACCGCACCGGGCACCGGGCCGCCGTGGCCGGGGTCTCCCTATGGGGGGCCTCTTCGCGGTAGAAGAAGCACAAGAAGAAGGAAGAGAGGAAGAGAGCCATGGGGAGAACTAAGAGCGTCCCATATCAGCTTGGCCTATATATATATGTGTATATGTGTATGCATGTCTGTCTGTCTGTATGTATGTCTGTATGTGTCTATATATATATATATACATATATACAAGGTACTTATAATCATATTATACATATATATATATATGCATATCTGTATACACACTAGAAATGTATTACTCTGTACATGTTATATCAATATTTTCTTTATCTAGGTTCAGTTGCAGGGAGGTTTGTCGCCAGGGACCTAGCATGCTGTCGCCAGTTAAGGTCCGTAGGAATCTGGGGTCAATCGCCGCGACCAGGAGTCTGTTGCGACCGCAGTTGCAGAGAACTTGCTCATCCGTTAGCCTGAATCTTCGAAAACCCGGAGCCCGAATCTTCCTGACCTGAAGAAAGATGAACGTTCCACCGCTTGCGACAAAGCCCTAAAAGATTTGCCAGTCTGGTTCACGGCTTTTTGGTTTGGGGGTACCCGGCTTGAAGTTTGAAGGTCTAGGATTTAGGCTTTAGGGTTAGGCGAGCCTTTAGGAGTTTGGGTTCGGGCAAACCGCTGCTAACTGGGACCAACTAGGATCCCATGCTCATCCCTTGTTTTGCAAGGACATGACGACGCGCGCATATGGAGGCATGATGCCACCCACGTGCCTCGTCTCATTCTCCACGCGGAGCTGTGGAAGCTAAAGCTTGAACCCTGAAGCACCCAAGCCGAAGCAAAAGCCCAAGGAAAAACCGCTAGCTAGCATACAGGAGTAAACTCCTAAATTCCTAAAACCACACATGTAGGAGATTTAGAAAAGAGCCGGGCCTTCAAAAGGGACCCTGTGGAATTTTCGGACCCCGAAGAAGAGCCAGAAACTCTAACAGACTTTGGGCTCAAAGGGGCTCCAATTCGTTGCTGAAGTTTAAGGTTTGGGGTATCGGGGTGTGATGAGGGCATTAGGAACCCGAAACCCTAAGCCTTTGGGGTATTGGGGTGTGGGGGTTTAGGCTTTCCTGCACCCTAATGTCGCAGGGCAACGTAGAACGCTGAAGCCGGAAGCCTGTAAGCGAAACTGCTTCTAGCCAAGGAACCCCCGCCCTCCCACACTGCCCCAACGGAGGGTAGGCTTTACAAGCTTGAACAGACCTGCGGTCCTTGATAGTGGGCATTTCGATCATGATCGAACGATCAATCGGCTTCACGGCTATCTCTGACCTTAGGGTTCAGACTTTTCTGGATTTGGGGGGCTTGGAGGGTTTACGTAGGGTTCAGGGTCGTGGATCCTAAGCAGAAAAAGGGAACTTCAACTGAGAGTCTGGATGACGATGCTGGCATTGTGCTCAAATCAAGACACCATGACTTTGAGATTCGGGACTCGAAGCCGAAGCTTTGCAACACTCTTTCTTACTTTCTCCCAGAAATTTAGCCTTCAGCTAAGGCACATTCCAAACATAAGTCTTTATATCATGGGAGGAACCTACAACATGTACGTTTCATAGTGTGCGTGGAAAGGCACGCGATGGCGCTACGACTTTGCCGCATGGCGAAGATGTGCTCGGGCGGTGTCATGACAGAGACACGCCTGGACGTTCTACTTCTTAGTCCCCACCTGAGACCGCCAATCAGCCAGCTTTACTTGCGTGAAGCCACTGGCTTTTATGCTAGCCGAATTCACTATTTCAAGGGAAAGAACTGGCAACTACGCAGCTTGAAGGACGGACATGGCTGCTTCTTCATCGTGCCGGTCATCGTCAATACGGGGGGCAGCGCTTACGATCGCCCCATCATCAGCGACATCCTACTCAAGCACTTCATCCCGAAGTTTGACCGAGCCATTTGGGGTGAGAAGAGCACCAAGGGCACAATTCACCTCCCAACCCCTTTAGGAGACAATTTTAACCTCGGAGCGCAAGGATGGAATGATGCAAGGGAGAAGGACTGCTGTTTGCATGTTTTTTCAAGGCATATGGCTGGAATTTCCAAATTTGCATTTGGTCATTGCAATTTTGTCTTGCCCTGCAGGAGCTGGACAACATGGCAAAGGAGGAAGCCATTATGTACAACTTGATGGGGCACGAGTTGGCAGTTGTGATTGTGGCGTGCAGTGAGTTGGCCGGAAATCTTCAGGATATGAGGGAACGCAAGAAGCGAGAAGAATATCTACATGACTACTACACTGACACGGTGGAGGCGACAGCAAGGCGCTTCAAGCATGTGGGCGCAACGGCGGATGGCATCAAACGTGAAGTGGAAAGCATGATGCTTGACCCGATGACAGATTGGGGAAAGAGTTCCTTGCCGGTGCCGGCGCACTTGTGGAAATTCCCGCCCACATAGCCCAAAAATTGCTGATGAGGCTGACCCGTAAAGGCAACAGATGTTGCGACAGTGCATGTTCGTTGGAAAATGACCGTGAGATGAACTCGAAACCCCTTTAAGTTCTGGAAAGCTTCGGAGTAAATGTAGGGGCCTAAACACTCCATCATCAGGGAAAACATTCCATCATCAGGGAAAACCCTGTTCTCATAATGAACGCCTCTCAGGTTCTGAGGCTCTGGCAATGAGGCCTGTGACGCATCGTTTCTTTCGGGCCGCGAGGTTCAGAGTCGGGGCTCGTAGTCTCACAATGGTGATGAGGGTTTGAGGCTTAAGGTTGGGTTCCTGTTTTTTTCGTGGGCTTTTTCGGGATGTTGATGAGAACATGTGTATGTTGTGGGCATCTGAAAGACCAATAAACATATTCATATTCCCATATAGTCCCGATGTGACTGTAGTGTAACAGAGCCAAAACCTTTATTCCAATTATGAAGGGTCCCTATAAGTGTTGTGAGGACCGCGGGCTCTCATGATGGCTCTGATTGTTCTGATCCTTCTGACCATGGCGGCTTGGGCTCAGGATTCAAGTGCTGATCATTACTCGTGACTCATAGATGTCTAGATCAGGTGTGAGTGTTACCCAGAAATCGCCTACGGTGTGCGCCAAGAGTACTCGCATATGCCAAGTCGTAGGCCTTTCGCCATAGTTGACTAAAGCGATGTCTCCAGGATTCATAGGGTAAGCTGCAGAGTCCTACTGCTTTGACCGTTTTCTCCCTTGCCCTTCCGGGGACTTGGTAGCCCAGTGGTACCCTTTACTCTTTTTTTGGTTCTGGGTTCCCTTATAAAGTAACCAACCAAAAAAAGGGTGCCCTGATTAGAATACGGTTACTGGGCTACCAAGGCTGGATGTCGAGGACAAGACAGCTGTCATACAAGCTCGCCGTAATGGCCACGCAGAGATCGCGCAATTCCTTCTGCAAGGCGATGCCGAGGATTGCATTGAACTACCCTGGTAGAGGAGCTAGTTGATGGGCCCCGTGTTTTTTCAGGAAAGTTTCTCCTCATCTCACCTCGACCATCTCGATCTGTCAGGGAAAATGATTGGAAATGCCCAATGACAGATAATTCCGGATAAGCAGGGGATTTCTGTTGAAAAATTTTT